CAGCAATACGAGTTAGGACACAAGAAGATATATGCACACTGATCATGGCAGCACTATTCACAACAGCAAAAAGATGGAGACAGACAAAGTCTGTCCATCAATGGAAGAATGAATAAACAATTTGGTATATACACACAATGGAATACTATGTAACCTTTAAGAATAATAAATCTGCAAAACACCTCATAACATGGATGAACCTGGAGGACATTATGCTGAGTGAAATTAGTCAATCACAAAACGACAAATAATTTATGAGCCCATTATTGTAAAAGCTTAAGAAAAGGTTTCCACACTAACAGGAGTATTCTTTGATGGTTACCAGGGGTGGGAGGGTGGTGGTGGTGGTTAGGGTGGGAGCGCTGACAGGAAGGGCAATATACAAGAATGGGGAGGGCAATAAACAAGAAAAGGGAGGGTGGCAGAAGAATGAAGATGGGTGAAGACACAGGGAGGTATGCATGGTTTTAAGGGAACAGATGTAAATACACAAACTTTGAACAACAGTGGTCTGTGTGAAGATACACAGACTGAGACATAGGCTGAATGGGTAAGGGAGGAAGAATGGAATATATGTTTATTATTTATATATTCCATACATATATTAAGCGTTCAAAAGCATATATTTGTACATTAGTATTTACCTTTCCTGCAATTACAACTATGAATGTGGTAGAGCATACAGCAGGCAAAATGAAAACTTCTTAGATGTTATCAAATAGCATAAAGCAATGAGTCTCTGGGCCTGGTGGCTCAGGACCAGAGTCTCAGAGGACTCCATGGCCAGTTGGCATAACATAGTCCACAAAGACAATGTTCTATATCCTGCTTGGGTGAGCAGCAACTGGAATCTTGAAAGTTCATAAGGGGTCATCTTAGGTGCAGGTATTGGTCTCTCTATGTGTGGAAGAAAGAATAGTGGTAAGAATTTGAAGAGGTTTGGAATCGATCAGTCCAACAGATTAATGGAATATGTGAACACCAGTCTCCATGTTTCTGAGACCAGTAGAACTAGATGGTATTCAGCTACCACTACCAATGGCCCTGAAAGGAATCACAGTAGGGGTGGGATCCTGGATACAGTGGGAGAAAATATGCAACTCAAAATTACTTAATAATAATAATAAAGGACCAGGTTTACTGGCTATAAAGAGACTGGAGGAACCTAAGACTATGGCCCTCAACTACCTTCACAGGTCTGGGAAGGAACTCCCTCTCATGGCCCAATTTTCAACCAAGCAGTAGACAGGTATATAGGGGGTGGACAACAACACTAGTAAGATATGCTCACCATGGAATGGTCAATCATTCAAAATCAAAAGAGCAACATTTTCCTAAGGACAAAGTTGAGAAGGGATGGGAAGGTGAGCAGAATGGAGACAGATATCATAGGAGGAAATGGGATAAATTTTGTTGCATGGAGAAGATTATATCACTGAGATAAAAACAAAGAGTATGATTTATTGAATGTAAAAACTGATGACCTTGTCTGGAAATCTTCACTCAATTCACAATAAAAAAAAAAAAAAAATTAAAAAACAAAACAAAAAAATCAGTGATAAAACAGTATGTATGGAAAACAAAACAAAAAATATGTATGGAAAAGCTAGACAATGAATACAGAAGACTGGAAAATTGATGCATTTAAATGTTGGTATTGCCAAAAAATATTGAAAATACCATGGACTGCCAGAAGAACAAATAAATCTGTCTTGGAGGAAGCACAGCCAGAATGTTCCTTAAAAGCAAGTTGATGTTCTCCTATGTAAACGACCACTCAGTTCACAATAAAACAATAAAACAGCAACAAAAAAATCAAGTATGGCGAGACTTTGTCTCACGTACTTTACACATGCTATCAGCAACGGCCACTCCTTGGAAAAGAACATCATGTTTGGTCAAGTAGAGGCTCATTAAGGTCACGAAAATTTATACTTGTTTTCTTCTAAGAGTTTTATCATTTTAGCTTTTCCTATTATGTCTCTGAAACATAGGATATCCTAGCTCATACCACATTCAAAAATTAACTTAATGTGTAAATTTTCGTGACCTTCATGATTTCTTATAAGACTGTACCAAAAGCATTATTTGTTGAAGAGACTATTCTTTCACTGTTAAATCGAACTGTCATCCTTGTCAAAAGCCAATTAATTGACTATCTTGTTTATCAATGCAGTAAAATCTGTTCCAACTCATATACAAACCTATATAGGAGTCCTGGTGTGGCACTATGGGATAATGCACTGGACTGCAAGGTTGATTTGAACAGCAAGGTCGGCGGTTCAAATTCACCAGCCACTCCTTGGAAACCTTATACAGGGTCGCTATGAGTCGAAACCAACTTGAAGGCAGTTAACAACACCAAGGGTTTCCGAGGAGCGGCTAAGAGTTTGAACCTCTGAGCTTGTGGCTAGCAGTCCAGTGCTTACCCTACAGTGCCACGTAAGGGGTCCAACTGGCCATAGATGTATCAAATAAGTGCTTATTATATCAATTTTATACTCTCACTGTAAATTTAACAGTTTACAGTTGTTGGTAAACAGATACATTTTCTATTATGCCTTCCTAAAAAGCTGACAGAAATGTCAGAAATATCTCAACATTTAAGTGCAAACACATTCCCAGGTTATCATATTTCCTAAGGTTATTCCATATCCCAGCCCTGGGAAGGAAATTTGAATAGTAGTTTGAGGAAGATGTAGTCCTTTTCTTCCTAGTTAAATGGCTCAGTGATAAGTTCTTGGAAAAAAAGCTCAGTGTTGATATAAGTATCAATAAGCACCTTTTCTACTTTTTTGACTTTCTGAATATTACATACATAGCTAAATGTTAGTATTCAGGAGTTTGTTTTGTAAGACTGGATATCAAATTATTCTTAACCAACATGTTTATAAGACATAGACAATATGCATCACATGCTATCTCATATCAAGTATGTACAAGTGATTTGCAAACTAGGTTTTAATTAAAAAAAACAAAAACGGGGGGGGGGTGCAAAAACCAAAGTAACTCTTAATTTCGGGATTCTATTTCTTAAATCCATTTTAGTGGGATCTATTAGACAACACTTAACAACAACTAACTTCTTTAGAGACCTGGTATGGTACTGTAGGATAAGCACTGGAATGCAAGACCTTCTGAAACGTAGGTCTGTAGTTCAGACTCACCAGCTGATCCTCAGAAACCCTACACAGGGTTACTATGAGTGGAAACAGACTAAATGGCACTTAACAATAACGAGCTTTGATGGACTCCAGGTGTGGCACTGGAGTGTTAACTGCAAAGCCAGCAGATCAAACCCACCAACTGCTCCTTGGAAACTTTATACAGGGTCACTATGAGTTGGAACAGACTCCACAGCACTTAACAACAGCTAGATTCTATGGGCAACACAGTGGCTCTGTAGAATAAGCATTAGACTGGGAAACACAAGGCTGGCAGTTCCAGCCCACCAGCGAGTAAGATGAAGCTTTCTGCTCCTGCAAACATTTACAACCTCAGAAACTCTATACAGGATCACTATGAGTTGGAAATGACTCCACTAAAGAACGTGCTGTTGCTAAGTGCTGTAGAGTCAATTCAGACTCAGAGGGACCCTTATAGGGTTTCTGAGGAGCGGCAGATGAACTTGAACCGCCGACCTTCAGGTTTAAAACGATGTTGCAGCCCAGTGCATTATCCTGCAGCGCCACACCAGGGCTCCTAGCTTCTATTTTTGAAACATGAAATTTTCATGTTTACATAATCCTGCAAAAATCGGTGCTTGCTTTTTCTTCCCACAGGGAAAATGGATGAAAAGAAAAAGTAGGGAAACACTGGTATGAGAAAGAATTCCTCACAAGTACTCCACCCCACCCCCAATTAAATTCCCTGATTTTTGAAGTAATAGCAAAAAAATTAAAAGCGCACATACTTTTTTAAGGCAATCTAATTCGGATTTGAATTCCTGCTCTACCATTTATTTACTCATTAGCTTTTATCTCATTTTTGAAAACAGGGATAATTCCGACCTAGCTGAGTTACTGGGAGGATTAAATTGGATGTTTGTAAAGCATCAACACAATGCATATCATTCTGAATAACCCGGGGGGAAATGTCAGAACTCAAGTAGCCAACTGCCTTCCATCTCTAAAGAGCTAAAGGCCTAGACTGTCTGGTGGAAAAGGCCCTAAATGAGCAGTCAGGAAGCAGAAAAGGTAAATTTGGCAAGCTGTTCAATCTTTTCCATATTCCACTGCTTTTCATCCACAAAATTAGGATGGAGGAAAAATACATATGAATCTGCCCTACTTTCGTCTCAGGGCCAAAAGAAAAAGCGGCGTGAGTGCACTAAGCAGGCACCCAAGCCTTGACCGCATCTACTAGAAGCCCCCTGGAGCCACACGACACGGGTGGGGTCCAGGCCCCTTCTCCGGAGTCTGGGTGGGGGAGAACCTCACCAGCATGGCTTACTGGCTGTCACCGCGTCAGCGAGGTTACCGTGTCGGCCCCTGTAGTCCCCCAGCACCTTCTGCGGCTCCCTGGGTTCGGAGACCACACCCTGCCTCGCACACGTTCGTACCCCGGGCTCTCCCGGGCACCCTGCTGGCCCGGGCCCGCTCAGGATGAAGAGGAGGAAAGAGCGCCCACCCGCGGGCAAAGGAATCTTCACACAAAAGGGTCAGCCCAGACGGGGAACAGGATGGGAAATGAGCTCTGAGAAAGCCTTCGCCCAATCACCCGGCGGGGCCCGGAGGGGCAGCCCCGCGCCTGTGCCTCTCCGCGGAATGGCTGGCGGCGGCACGCGGGCTCCCATCTTTTCCCTCCCGGACCCGAGTAGGGCGCCGCGGCCCGCACCTCGCCTCGGCCTGTACAGCGCGAGCCGGACGCTACGGAGCCGGCTCGTAACGGGCCCCCCCCACCTCCGGCGCCTCCCGGCCGAGCAGGGCCCATCGGGGAAAGCGCGCCCCGGCGGCGGGAGGCTGCGTACGCACATAACGGGGCGCCAGGCGAGACCTCACCCAGGATCTCCCGGCGCCGATCGGCGTGCGGCTGGTCGGTGTAGACCCACTCAAAATCATCTCGCGAAACGCGGTTCCCCATGGCGGCGGCGGAGGCGGCTCAAGGGCCCACTTCCAGCTCTCGCTCCCGGCCGGGGATCTAGTGGCTTCGGCTCCTAAGAGGCAAAGGCGAAGGCAACTGCTTGCCAGCTCATGTCCGCCCGCTGCGGGCGGAGGCGGAGCCCCGAGGCCCCGCCCCGCCGCCTCGACCCCCCCACCCCCGGACTCCTGGGCCGAGCGCTGCTTGGCTGGCTGGCCTGGCGGCCTAGTGGCCCGGCGACCGTGGGGTGGCGGCTCGGGCGAGCTCGGAGCGGCTTCCGTGGGGTTGTGAGCTCCTGCGAGTCCCCGAGGAGAAGGTGAAAAAGGAAGGAAAAGTCTCAAGTTAGATAAGTTAGGTAAGGCTGCTGATTCAGCGGCTTGGTGGGTGGAATACCACGGGAAGTCTGGAGCTCTGTCAACTCATCGGGACCCTTGACCATTAGCAGCTGATCCAACTTTTGTTCATTTTGAAAAGCAAAGTATTCAATGAGTCGGCTCTCGTGGGAATCGACTCCACGGCAGTGGGTTTTTGGTTTTTTGTGTGTGTGTGTGAAATAATACTTCAAGCTAGGTCTTCCAGGAAAAATTGCAGAATGTGTGGCAGTTAATAGCTAATAAAAAGAGAGAAAACACTGTTGTTGAAAAGTGAAAAGATGTGGAATTAGCTTATTTTGTCTGAATTATTCTGGTGTAACCATTTCTTTTACAAGATGATTTCTCAACCTTGCATTTCTCTCACAGCTGAGCCACAATCGCTTCCTGAAAGAGGGGACATTTTGTTTCAAAATTCGTCAGCATTTATTCATCAAAAAAGAAAGTTTGACTAAGATTATTAAAAAAAAAAAAAAAAAAAGGTAAGCAGACATGGTATGCCTTCCAATACAACAACATACCACTACCAAAAAATTTTTTTAAATATAGCTGAATCTAATCAACCCGCTAATTCTAATATATGTTGTTGTAAGGTGTCAGCCAGTCAGTTTCGACTCAGCGATCCTATGCACCCCACAACGAAACACTGTCCAGTCCTACACCAGTCTCACAGTGGTTGTAACACTTGAGCCCATTAGTGCTGCCACTGTGCCAATCTATCCCTTAGGGAGTCTTCTTTTTCTCTGACCTGCCACTTTACCTGGCATGATACCCTTCTCCAGGGACTGGTCCCTCCTGATAACGTGTCTGAAGCTTGAGAGACAAGTCTCACCATGCTGGCTGTGCCTTCTGAACCTTCTGGCTGTACTTTCAACACAGATTTATTTGTTGTTCTGGCAGTCCATGGTACTTTTAATATTCTTCTCCATAAAGACTGTTAGGAAATACCATGACTTGGGTCAGGACATCTTTGCAAGAGGTTTGCCTAAAGCAATACGTTGTTTGATTTCTTCCATGATATTGATAGTGGACCCAAGCAAAATGATGTCTTTGCTAACTTCAATCTTTTCTCCATTTATCGTGATGTTATTTATTGGTCCAGTGGTCAGGATTTTGTTTACTCTGAAGTGCAATCCATACTGAAGGCTATCGTCTTCAATCTTCATCACTAAGTATTTTAAGTTCTCTTGTCTTTCAGCAAGGAAGGTTGTATCATCTGCATATTGCAGGTTTCTAATGAGTCTTCCTCCAAACCTGATGTCATGCTCTTCTTCGTATAATAGGAAACAGAAAGAACATGTTAAACTACACCACAAGGATGCAATAGAAAGCTCCCTATAGGAAGTTATAGGTTACAAACCTGGGTTCTTTAAGAAATAAAAAAATAAGGAAAGTAGGGGAAGCTTAAAGATTTATATTTATATACTTATAAACTTATAGAAGCTTAAAAGAGTATGATGTTTTTGTTACATGGCATATATTCAGTTCTGACTCAGCAACCCTGTATAAGATTTCCAAGGAGCAGCTGGTAGGTTTGAACCACCAACCTTGAGGTTAATAGTCCAGTGCTTATCCTACAGTGCCACACCAAGATTCTAAAAGAGTATGTTGTTACTGTTAAGTGCCTTTGAGTCAGTTATGACTCATAGGGATCCTGTATAGGGTTTCCAAGAAGTAGCTGATAGGCTTGAACCACCACTTTGAGGTTCTAATAGACTTTGTGGTTTAGTGCCTACAGTGCCACACCAGGACTCCTCTAAGGAATAAAAGTTGACTTTACTTAGATTCTGATTAGAATAATCAGTTGGGTTTTTTTAATGGACATTTATGTGATAATTCAGCGAATAACTGGAAATGTGATCATTTTGTTAAGTGTGTTATGATTATAATTTTCCAAAGAGTCCTTATCTTTTAGAGATTCATAAAAAACAACCCAACCCACTAAACTAAAAAATGCACAATTATGGTATATGCAATTAACCATACAAAGTTATTCTATGCCACCACTAAAATAAAATGGACGAGAAAGTTCAGAACTACTAACATTTCTGCTAGCAGTAAAGCACTTAACCTTTTGTGCTTGTTCTTGTTGTTAAGTGCAGTCAAGTATGTTCTGATTCATAGGGATGTGCGTAGGGTTTCTGAGGCTTGAAATCTTTGTGGGAGCAGAAAACCTCATCTTTCTCCTGTGGAGCAGCTGGTGGGCTAGAACGGTGGGCCTCGTAGTTCTCAGTCCAGTACTTAGCCTATGGCATCATTGTGCTCCTTTTCACCACCTGGGGACTTCTTATAAGGAATCTCTTTATGTATTTTATGAATTGACCCCCAAAGTATATTTTATAAATATACATGTTTCCTTGGATATGCATAAAACATATTTAGAAGTTGGTTTTGGTTGCATATCGTTTGGTCAGTTCTGACTCATAGTGACCCTGTATAGGGTTTCTGAGGCTATAAATCTTTTTTTTTACCTCCAAGATCATCAACTTTACTTTCAGCCAATCATACATTTTGTTTCATCTCAATGATTACGCTCCCTTCCTACAATGACAGTTAATCCAGTTTGCACCCTGTGGCTTCCCTTTTACATCTTATTTTTCACAAATGAACAAAGCAAAAATATTTGATGTACACATACAAAACAAAATACATATATTAATTTAAATGTCCAAAGGACACATTTTGCAAGCCAGCCTCCTGCCCACAGATAGGCACATAGCCTTTCGCAGTCAATGGGCCTAGAGTTCTGAGGCTATAAATATTTATGGGAGCAGAAAGCCTCATCTTTCTCCCAAAGAGCGGCCGGTGGATTTGAACAGCTGACCTTGCTAGTTAGCACTCCAACTTGTAACCCACTACACTAACAGGGCTCCTATGTTTAGAAAGACACCCAAAACATGTTTGTATTGTGGGAGAGTAAATGGGATTCTAGGGGAAACCAGGTAGGAGGGAATTTTTTTCATTTAAACCCTATTGTAGCTTTCACATTTGAATTGAATGTGGATTTTGACATTCTGAAGAAAAGGAAAACAATTTGAGCTACGGGATTATTGTGGAATTGACAAAGATTTTAATTACACATAAGTATGCTTCTTATAAGGAGCTCTGGTAGCGTAGTGGTTACGAATTGGGCTGCGAACCACACGGTCAGCAGTTCGAAACTACCAGCTGCTCCGCGGGAGAAAGGTGAGGCTTTCTGCTCCCGTAAAGATTTACAGCCTCAGAAACCCTGTACAGGGTCGCTATGAGTCGGAACCAACTCCACGGCACATAACAACAACAACAACAACAACATGCTTCTTATGGAGTCCTGGTGTGGCGCTGTGGGTTAATGCGCTGGACTGCAAAGTCAGTTTGAACTTCAAGGACGGTGGTTCAAGCTCACCAGCTGCTCCTTGCAAACCCTATACGGGTCGCTGTGGGTCAGAACCGACTCAATGGTGCTTAACAAAAACAACAGTGCTTCTTATATTTGAACTTTTAAGAGTTCTTCATGTTTTAGGCTTGGTTCTCCTGAGGAACAAAACCAGTGAAATATGTGTATGTATGTGTGTGTGTGTGTGTGCGTGTGTGCATGTGTGAGTGAAGGAGCTATGGTAGCATAGTGGTTATAAGTCAGGCTGTTAACCTCAAGATTAGCTGTTCGAAACTACCAGCAGTTCCGTGGCAGAAAGGTGAGGCTTTCTGCTCCCGTAAAGATTTACAGCCTCAGAAACCTTATACAGGGTCGCTATGAGTCGGAACCGACTCTGCGGCACCCTGCCACCACCATATATGTGTGTGTGTGTGTACAAATATATATTGAGAGAGACTCTTGTTATTAAGTGCCATCAAGTCAATTCAGACCCATAAGGTTTCCAAAGAGCAGCTGGTGGGTTAGCAGTCCAGTGCTTAATCTACAGCACCACACCAAGACTTCAAATCTATGGATCAAGTGTTGGACTGGAGGCTTCTAACTCAGGTGGTTGCAGGGGCTGACAAACCCAAAATTAGAAGGTCAGATGGCAGGCTGCTAGTTTATGGGGTTGTGGGAAAGGGTGAATCCTAAAATCCTCAAGGCCAGGTGGCAAGCTGCTAATTTTTCCCAAGAACCAGATGTCAGACAATAATAGGTTGAATGTAGAAGAGAGATGGAGAAAGAGAGAGAAAGAACTTTGCCAGGAAATTTATATACATACTGGATACAAACCACACTCCTACAGAAACTCCCCTTACATCAGATCACAAACATGGAGACTGATTATATAATACTGAGAATCATGGTCTAGCCAAATTAACTTGTAACATTAACCATGACACTTCTCTTCACATCATTTCTTACTCTTGCCAAGTAATTTGCCTTACTGCAACCATACCAGTTATTCTGGAAAGACACTACCCAGTCTGCTGGTGAATGCATTGAATGCATTATGGTGATGTTATAAAATTTATGATGAGGTTGCTTTCAGATGAGGACTGGATATTTTAAAGTCAAGCAAGGTGTTTCTTCATATAGATTTTCATTTATTTGTTTGTGACTAGGTGATTCTTCTTTTTATTGTGAATTAGGTGAAGGTTTACAGTGAAGATCAGTTTTCCTTTCAACAATTCATACACATTTTGTTTCATCTCATAGACTACAGTCCCCAGAAGGAAACATCACTTATCCCCCACTTCCTCCCTGTATTTACTGTTCCCATTGTTTC